ACCAATTTCTAAACTAAAACTAAACCAAATAATCAACGTTTCTTATCATTATTACCTACTTATCTCAAATAATCTGTTTAAATGATTATTTCCTGATCATGAGCTGTCACTAGAATGTTTGCAATAATTTAATAAGGTCAAAGACAACCCGGCTAGGTAGGTATCAATGGTTGCAATTGAACATTCTGTAAAAGCTTCATCTTCTTATTCTGGGAATACTTTAAGATTTTACTTTGTAGGGCTGGAATCAATTCAGGATTTTTGTTCCATTAAAATATTGCTTTTACAGTAGTTTAAAGTTTGAATTGTAAATTGAAAATATCACTAACTACAACTGTTAAGACGTCGCCGAGATGAATTAAATTTCTTTAATTGGAATCCCCTTCACACTATTTGAAAAATTCAAATGATTTTGGATATTATTGCTGCTAGTTACTGTATTGGTTTAGCAGAAACAGTGTGTCTCGAATAATATGTAAAAAATATATCAATTTTTAATAAATTTTACAAATTAGTTGAATACTGAGTAAACAGAGATGGATTACTAAAAAACTTACAGTATTAACACTATAGTTCGGCTGCTTAGATAGTGACCTGTGCGCTAGCGCTAATGCTAACCAATGCTAGAGGAGGTCGCTATCTAAGCGGCCGAACTATAGTACAACAGTAATATAATCTTTGAACACAATTAATTACTTTAGTTCTCTTAAAGTAATATTATAATAATATATTTAGAATGGAGGGTACTTCAAATGTTTGCGATAAATATATCACTACTATATTTCTTTCTTTGTGAATTCAATGTATATGATAAATACTGTAGACTTTTTTAAGACAGTTTATTTCAATCAAATACGAAAAAACTTAAAAATATACAGGGTGATAAGAAACAAGTTATTTATATCCAAAAAACAATACTTTATTATGGGACCACATTTAAAACATACTTACATCTATTGCATACATCTAATTAAAAAATATATCACAGATACATCTGAACGCAGGTTACAGAATGTCAAACTATCATTAATCCAGCAAAAACTTCATTTGTATAGAGGGATGATGGTTGTGCGGACATCTTCCACACTTTTCATGACAGCGATATCGTCCTGGAACACAACAATGTTGGGTAAGTTACTTATGTTCAGCCTGTCTATACTACCCTACTATAAGTGAGAAAGTTTATTATAAGTTTACTATAAGTGAATTATAAGTGAGAAAGTTTGAATGTATGGATGTTTCTGACAAGTAAACACAAAAAATACTGGTCGAATTGGGCTGAAATTTGGTGTGACGATAGTTCACATTCCCGATTAAATAGACGCATTCTTATCTCAAAAATCCTTTCGAGCTCCGCCCCAGTGGCTCTGGAGTTTCCCATGTTAACCTTATGAGTACCTCATATTTAAATGGAATAAAATAATTTGGTCATCTGTTTCAACTACACAAGTTGATTCTATCAGCATTAAAAAGTTATAAGGTTTACCAACATATAACAATTATGCAGCACTATTATTTTTTTGCATTTATGACAACATCTAATTTCAACTAGCAACAAAAAGCTGTTAAAAATGAGAATTTAACTTTTTTTATTCTTTAGGTGCAGTGGTAGAACATTATGGCTATGATATATGTGCTATACTATAGCATACCGTAAATTAAAAGAATTAAATTTTCTTAAACCGTGTCCTCTCCCATTGCAAATGCAAATCACGAGTATAACTGCAATAAGCATTTTATACTTATACGCCAACCCCGTATGAAGGACGGGTACTCTGCTAGTGAAAAATAATGTCAGAAGACTGATAGTCCAGTCATATTGTTTAGTACTGGTACTAGTAACCAGTAACAACATATCAAAAATCAACATTCGTGCATACTGTGAAATGTGTTGGAAAATAGTGGCCAATTTTCACTTTTTTGCCCATATTTCACTAACCGTTGGAAATACAGAAATCTTGTTTGAACATAAGTTAAAGAAACACACAAAAATACGTATTTTACTCAGTTACATATTTGCCCTATCTCTAACGGTTTTTTGAGAAAAATTGGAATTGATATTTTAAAAACATTAATTTTGTCTGATATATAGAGAGATATATGTGTCTGTAAACTTGATAACTGGAGTAAAGTTTATCCGATTTTGATGAAATTTGGCTTGAAGGTGTACGGCGGAACAATATGTTATAACCTTGAATGAGTTTGCGAAGTAGACTACTCATGTGCAGAGTTTCATCACTTAGAGAATTATTTCCACCTACTAACCCTAATATGACTGGACTATGAATAAACATTTTATTTATATGCACCAGCTGTAGCAAAGTTTTTATTCACACATTTATCCTATCAGTTATAAGTAGGTGTATAAGAAAGAAATAAAAGCAGTATTTTACAGAAGCACACTCTTATCTCAATCAAAGTTCTTTTATATTTTAAAACTGGCGACAGCTGGTAGTGTAAGGTGTGGTATGTACTGGTACTCCATATAGTGTTAAATAAAGTCAAAGGTAAAATAATAAATTAAGGAACGCGGCAGCGTTCCGCCCCGCCAAGTCCCCCAGCGGTACACAGCTGCTGCAGTGTATATATACATGACGTGACAAAGTGGCTTTTTTACTCGTCTATAGCTCTGAAGAAACAAAAGCTATTAAAATAATTATTCATCTACTGGATAGGGGCACTCATTCTCAATCAAATTTAAAAAAAGAATTAAAAAAACGGTTGTGTTTGAGCCAGAAAAACTAGTTTGAAAATTCACAAATTTTCCGTGTTCTCCTTCTTCTCCTTGAATGTTGACGGACCTACAGCCCAAACCACTGGCTCAATTTCAATGTTTTTTATGTTGTTTGAAAGCCCTTAACGTGTAGATGTGCCTTTTCAGGGTCTCAAGTCGGTGCGTTGACCCATAAACCCTTGGCAAGCCCTCAAAGTACGATTTTGGCCCATTTAAATAACATAGGATTAAAATAAAAACAAAAGAAGGACCAGCTGCGATTAAATCTCATTTAATTTAAATGTCAGAGAAATTCATAGGAACAGCTGAAAATTATTTTAAAACTTTTATAAAGTATTTTTTTCAGGTATACCGAATGATTTGAACTACTTACTATATAAAATTACTTAGAGCAGTGATATTCCCCGATACTTTCTATTGAAAAATGCAGTGTACCGATGGTACACTGGTACAGCAGCTCGTCATTTTTAACAGTTTAATACTACTTATTAAAACATATGAAACCTAGGAACTTGAAACTTAGTACTAGTACTAAGGTTTGTTATATGTGTTGATACACTAAAACAAATAAAACAATCGGGAAAATCACTCTACGTATGTTAAACAAGCAATTAAAAAGTGATATGTAAATTTAGGATAGATGAGTTTTTCAATATTTGTTTTGTTTATGCTATTTCTAACAAACTTAATCGGTTTGATTACATTTTTACTTCTCTAATAAGGGCTCAATTTACACTAGTCTTTAGATGTACGGGTTTAATTATCAGAACACTTATGTAACACCAACGCATTTCATGTTGTTCAAGATGACCATTGATGAAATTTGAAACTGAGTTTAAGCCCAGGGGGTTTGTTAAATAGTAATTTTGGTACGTCCAAAAGGTTTTTAATCGGTTTAAAGCAGATAAGACCAAAAATGTAAAATTTAGTTCTACACAAACAATATTATTGAAATTAAATGAGATGTAGTTGTACCGTGGTCTATATATCAGAGAAAGGAGGATTTTTATTTTAACTGTTAATTTTCTACAAAAATAAATAAAATCTAACAAAAAACCACTAAGTGGTAACACTTTCCCCGCCAAGTCAGCAATCCAAAAAAGATAATAAATCATTACTTTTTCCGCCAAGAAAAACCATGTAATGTATGTAAGTTTGGCAACTTGGCGGCAGACTTTTGCTCGATCACTTTAAAAAAATACCATAAAACTAGTTTCATTGAGCAAGTATCTCTCCCATTAGTACATTGCTAGGTGAGAGCTTATTTTACAAAATTTGACCTTATTTGTGCCACATTTCATAAACTTGTAATAGTGATGGTTTTATATTTACTGATTACCTCGAAATTATTATGCTTAGTTGGACTAATTAATTAGAGAAGTTGATTTGTGAAATTATCCACGAACGTAACTTCAATGAAAAAAACCAAGCAAAAGTCTGCCGCCAAGTTGCCAAACTTACATACATTACATGGTTTTTCTTGGCGGAAAAAGTAATGATTTATTATCTTTTTTGGATTGCTGACTTGGCGGGGAAAGTGTTACCACTTAGTGGTTTTTTGTTAGATAAACATTTACTTTGCAGTACCTAGTAATTACTGATCGTGTGCCATCTCATTTGGTTCTTGTAAGTAAAGAAAGAAAGAAAGATATTGTTTGATGTTACAGTGAACTTCGTCCTTTAGTTAGGCATTAGATGCCCGCAAAGCCCTATAATCTGCCACCATCTAGGGAATATTACTTTTATGAAATGTATACTTAAAAAATGCTTTTCATCTTGTCTGCAAACTTGTTAGCTGCTTTCAGTCATCAATCTCTTCAAAGATGTCGTTTGACAGTGAATTAACATACACTATGACTTGAGATCTGATAGTCAGCAAAACCACATCATCATTGACTTTGGATACTGCAAGTACTTCTCATCAATTATTTTAAAATTTGAATATTTTTTAAGTATGTTACATGTCCATTTAAGTAGTTCTGATTTCAACTTCTTTACTTTAAGTTTAGTAATGATATTAGGGGGAAATCAATAGTTTGTAGATACATTTTGTTGTTGTAATATTTTTAAAGTTGACAAAATGAGAAGAATAAAAACGTTTATGTTTGCATCGGGCAGAAAAACTCCCTAGATTTGTCAGCTTTTTAAAATTGTTTTTCTGTTTCTATACCATTAGCATTGTTTTTCAGCATTGTTAGCTTTGTTCAGCTGTTCCGTTAAAGTGATAAATAGTCTCTAACCTACTATTATGGCTGTTATGTCTCTACCTGGTTTAGAGGGGGGATTCAGTCAAGAGCAGCCCAGCACTCTAGGTTTTATGGATGCTAAAGAAACACAAAAAGGCACATATGTTACAATGGTGTCTGCTTTCAGAATCTAGCAAACGTTTAACCAAACCAACTTTCTAGCCATATTAACCACATCTAATGATTTATTTTTAATGAATGTATAGTTTGGTTCAAGTTAAATTGAAATGATCTCTAAAAAAAGTAATAATCATTTTATGTTTAAGGCAACGTAAAATTTACCTATCATCTGCATGAGAGTCGGAACGTGTTTTGTTGGGAACACTTAAAAAGCAAAAAAGATTTTTTAGTGATTTTGTTCATATTAAAACATTCAAGGTATCTAATGTAATTTTATGAATAAATCTATACTTATAAAAGTCAAATACCATTCACTGACTCACTGAACACTGTATCTCAAAAACTACTAGCCGTAAGAACTCAAGAATCGGCATGGAGGTTCCAATCAGCCTAGGTGTGCAATAAGAAGCGTTTTCATTAAATTCCATCAGGGCTTTGCCCCAGTGGCTTTTAAAGTTGCCATGTTATCCATATGTAGAAAAGATTTGTTTACATTTGAACATATGAATACTTTTGAACCTGCACTATTAATTAAGGGAACAGCTGGTTATATTTTATTAGGTAAAATTATATTTACATTATTTTTGTGACTTGAAAAAGTGTTTTACTGAATAGTATATTTTAAATAGTTAAATCAAAAAAATAAATCATGAAGTGTTTTTTGTCACTACTCTTTTTATTTTGTTGTGAATTTTAAGGTATGTGTGCTCTCTATAATTTAATAACACAGTACAATTTAATAATCATCAAAGAAAGATTATTGGCTAATGAGTTTACCCTTTTATTTGAAGGGGTGGCACCTGCATTCTCCTATCACATAATAACAATAATTATTTTGTTGGCTTATTAGATTAAAAGATTTAACTTTTTAATTTAAATTTAAGTGAGCGAAGCTACGACGGTTTTCTAGTACTGTATATAAAGAAGTTTCCTTCAGCAGATGAGTTATAAGCTTATAACAAACTTATGCCTGATGGGTTCAGTAAATAATACTTTTAAAATTTCAGTAATGTATTAACTTTAATTATCAATTTTTGGCTATCCACATTTATTTATATATACTCATACACAACAAATTGAACACTACAAACTAAATCTCTAGGTACAACAGCTCTGAAGATGGCTATCCGCAGCAAAATTTAAACGTTAGCACTATAAATATAATGATTTATAACGATTTGGTATTACAAGTGCCATCTGTGACATGGTTTTACCTAAAGGACTTGGTTTGTAATGTTAGTGTTAGTGGCCTCAAGCATTATTACTTGTGATAATAAAATCCAACCAACTGATTCTACTATCTCCTGAAGAAGCCCTTTGTAGGGGTGAAATATGAAATTAAGTTGTGAAAACTTTGTGGGCTGAAATTCTTTTTTTTTGTGCAGTTTATTTGTGTACATTCAACTCATACTTATATAAATTACAAGTGAAGTTAATGATTAAATTTCACACCTTCATGTTTCGTCCTCCGTAGCCATTGCAAAGTGAAGATGTAGTAGCATGTCCAGACGATGACCAGGATAGCGTAGAAGGTTGTGAGGACTGAGTAAAGGAAGATAACCTTCCACCAGTCCTTCAGCAAGGCTACTAGCTCTCTGACCATCTGGGGGAATAGGTTAGACATTAAAATGGGTTATGTTAAATAGAAATCAGTAAACAAAACTGTATGCAAAATGTCTTGTACTTAGGTTTAAATAAAGGTTTTATATTGATGTTATTATATTGTGAGACCTGCAAGGTCAATTAAGCCTGGTGTAGCCTCCGCCCCTTATACAATCCCCCTAATTATTTACTACCATATAACAAAGCTTAAATTTTTAAGAATTTCTTTTAGAGAATTCACATCCAAAAACTTCCTTTTCATTTTCGTACTCTTATTAGTGTTATGGTGCTAAATCAGAACAACTTACAAGAATAAAATAAAAGGATAATGATTCGGGTTTAAATCTTCAAAATTAGTACAAAATTCATGTTCATATACATATACAGATTAACAGATACCATTTTGGATATTGTGTAAATATGCCATCAAATTGTTCTACATATTTTATTACAAAATATGTTTTACTTTTTTTGTTTTTAGTAACATAAATAACGTAATGTCTGAAACTATATTCCGTTCACAGAATTTAGGCAGTTTTAGGGGAAGAAATTCATCCCCTCCACTTGATCCTATCTTTAAAACAATAGCTCAACAGCTGAGTTTTGCCAAAATATAAATCAGCTGCAAAATATGTAACAAGCAAAAAAGTAGTGGAGGAACTTACCCTCAAACTGCCTAAATTGTGTGAGCGGACTATAGTTTCTAAAGAAATTGGAAATTGCATAAGGTATTGCAGTTTATGATTATGTTAATAAATTTACAAGCATCTCCTGATTCATTTTCTGAACTTATTTTGAGATTTAAATGATAAAATTGAGACACAAAAATTATAGACATATTCTATGGGAGTTAACACAGTTAATTACCAAACAATAGATTTTTTGAAACGGAAAAAAAACCCTCAATTTTGATTGTTAGTTTCTTTATTGGTTGATTGGAAAACTAAACTCGGTCAACATTTATGTGAATCTTAGTTCTTGAATGATATAAAAGCGGATTTCCGGTAGAACGCGGTGGTACTGAGTTCCGGTACCTCTCTTTTGGAAAGATAAAAATATTGGCATAAATAGGTACATAAATATGTACTTAACATATTAAATAGGTTACAGCCCTGGCACCTCATTTTTTACAGCATAAACACAAACACAGATAAACATGCTTTACAAACACATAATATTTTCTTTAGACAAAGATTTACACACTTATTAAAAACTATTATTAAAACACACCCTCTAAACAACCCCATTCCTTGTTTAATCATCACATTCTATTTCACATAAACTTTGAATTTTAATATTTTGTATTCTAGGTGTAAAATTAGGGGACGTTTAGTCACCAAAGCCTACCTTAACAAGGTTGTAGTGTGTAGTACTTTATCTGAAGACTTGGAGATGCCTTGGCACTGTCTGTGTATCACAGTTGACTGATTGTCACTGACTACATGTCTTGCAGCATGGTGACTAGAGCTGACCCTTGACCCCACCGTCATCAGTCAATAGGACCAAGTTCCAGATAGGACCAGAACAGATAAAAATATTCCTGCACAGTTATGTCTTATCACCTTGACTCTATGGTTAATCACCAAAAGAGAATGTGTAAATATGATGATCAAGTATGAATGAAACTGCTTGCAGTGTCAAATTGTTAATCAAAATTTAAATGTTATTTTTAGTTTAAAACACTGTGCATGAGTTTATGAACATTTAAATAATTTAGTTTATTTTAACAGTTTTTTTTATCACAAATGGATTTGAAGTTTGGTTGAAAACTTGAAATTTTAAAGTGTTATTGACTATTGAATAAGATTTTATTTAAGGATTGCATATTTTTTTACTTATATATTTATTGTTAGAGTACATACTCAAAATGCAAGTTATATTATGTTTTTGTTCAAATAGATGTAAAAACGGTACTTAAATAAAATATAAAAATATATTATATAATTTTGCTAAACATCACATATTTGGAAAATGCCATTTACAGTATAATCTGATATTTTACTCATTGAAATGAACCACAGTAGAAAATATACTTAATTGCATATTTAAAATTTGACAAGTTAGTGGAATACATCGGGATAAAAATATCATAACCTTCATAAGGAAGGTGACTTTTCTAGTATTTTGTTTAACTATATTTTTTCAAATGATTATGGGAAAGTGGTAGTTTTAATAAAATGTCACTTTAAATTTTTACTTTAAAAAATTGTGATCCTAAAAAAATATTAGCTTTTGGTGGTTTAAAACAGGTTTTAATAAAAATAAATTACAGAAGAGGGGTGAGATGTCTTAAGTGCATAAAGGCTCTAAAAGTGTATTCATCTTTGCATTCTAGTGTGTCAGCATTGTACAAATCTAATCTTACTAATATTATAAATGTGATATAATATAATCTACCACAAACCAAACTTATTCCAAGAGTATACTTATAATTTAAAAAATAACACGTTTTTGCAATACATCTATATACAGAATTTTCTGATTTTGATTTACTCCGTTGAATTATGTAAATCTTTGTTGTGGCTTCACAAAACCTAAACAAAAATAACGTCCCAAAAATTATTTGTTTGTTAAATAAGTTTTAGATATTTATCTAAATAATACTAGACTTATGACCAATTTCCCAATAAAAAAATCTTTTTGATCCATCTTGTCCAAAATGTTACTATTTTAATTTTAAATATTAGCTTACACCACATTGTGTTCCAATGATGTTTCCTTATATTAAAATGTTGCACACTTTTTATTTTTTTGTCGTCCTAGGACACGAGCCTGGAATTGTTTTGCACATTAATCAGGCTAGACCTAGGAGTTGCGGCGCTATCACTTAGATAAAATCCATTGGTGATTTCACGGGATTTGAACCCAGGACCTCAGGGACTGAAGTCCCGCGCTCTAACCACACTAGACCAGCTCCCTCCCTCCTACATGTTGCACACTATGGACGTTCAAATTAATTTCATTTTTCAAACAAGGGAAATTAAATGAACTAAACCAGATAATCATTAAATTTTTAATAGGCACATACTATTGTTTACTGATGCTTCAGACAATAAATTTAAAGCTATATGATAGAAATGTACAGTTAGTTTCTAAACTTTATAGGAGGAATTAACTTATATATACTATTGGCCTTAGAATTACAACAAATTTAACTACCGAGAATTAAGAAGAATATTAAGCTCAATTATATTTTCAACATTATTATAACTATAAGTGGGTTATTCAAATGTAATACTGTATAGAAATCCACAAGTATTTAATGGAATACCTATTTAATATAATGTGTATTATTTTTAAATAAAAAATATAACACGAGTATAGATACATTAAAATAAAACATATAAAACGTAACATAAATAAATAACCTTAACAAAGATTATGTTTAGAGGTGATTTAACAAGAGTAAATTGAATGGTATAATCGTTATAATTTATACTACCATTAAGCTAAGAGTTTTGCAAAGAATATTTGAAGTAGTTTGTTGCAAAAAAGGCAGTATCTTATAAATTTATTGCCACCAAGAAGTTTAGCAGTTTACCAAATCTAAACAAATTATGCTAAAAAAAATCAAACTAAATTAATTATCTTTTCCGCTATGAGAATAGCTTTGGTTACAATTAACTTTGGTATAGTAACCAATAGGTGTAGCATAGTAAAGCAACGTAAGTTATTTTTGTTGGTAAGCTAAGAGTTTTGCAAAGAGTATTTTTAGTTTTTAACAAAAATATTTCCTTAACCTTGTCAGATTTATTCACTATTTAACAGTGGCGGCGCTTCCATAAGGGCCAAGTGGGCCGGACTCACCCAAAATAAAAGTAAAGTATATTTTTATATAACTTATAGGTTATTTGATTAATATTATTGAACAAACTGTGATATAAATTAATCTTGAACCTTCAACGAGTCATAACTTTTTTTAAGTATTACATGCCCCCCAACCCTCCGGAATATCCCACCCTACTGTTCAGGCTAAGCACCGCCACTGCTATTTGAATAACATTAAAGTTCATGAGTACAGTAGAGTCCCGCAAACTCGGCACTGGATAACCCGGCAGTCTGGATAACTCGGCCATCACCTGGCTCAGAAAATTAGTGATTTTTTGAGTCCGAGTTAAGCTGGATTCAAGTCAGCTTTAGTCAAATTATTCGCAACTGGTACTAAGAATTTGTTGTACTATATCTGATGACTTAATACTGATTTGTAATATAAATATAAATAAAAAAGGTGGTTAAAAAGCTAAATTGTTCTGATTTTTAACCCTAGTTCCCGATAACCCGGCATTTCACAAACTCGGCACCCTTCCAGTCCACATTACGCCGAGTTTGCGGGACTCTACTGTACCTAGGTTTCCTGCTAAATGGAAGGAAAAGGTGTTTTTTAAATAAAATATTAAGAGTATAGTATGAAATATCAAAATACTTGCATAAACAAGCAATTTAAAACAGTTTACCTTTTCCTTATAGAAAAACATAGATATTTTTAATGCTCAGTTTTAAAAAATGTTCTCTGTAACCTTTAATATTCTCAACGACCCTACAACATACAAAATTATTTGTTTTTTAAGCTCAACACAATGGTTATGATGAAATTTTGGAATTTTCAAGGAAAGGGTATAACACCCCATTTCCATGACCCGATCTTGCTAGCCCTACACATTCCTGCCAAATTTCATCAAAATCAGACAAAAACTAATCAAATTATCGTGTTCACACACACACACACATAATTATGTATAATGGCTTAAACCTGTTTGCTTTATTTACTAAAATAAAATTAAGTGAATTAATTTCAGTTTTAAACCGTAGTAACATCTAACTGTTGTCGGTGGCAGTTGACCTAGCTTTATGCAGTGTTTTTTTCTTGTTCACGCCAAAGGAATTTTACATCAAAGAACAAAAAGCACTTTAACGGGCTAACATTCCAAACCTTTACATTTTTTTTTGCATATGCCAGTGTCAAAGCTGTTACTCTCATACCCACTAAACTTGGTAACAAATGCAGTATATATTTGACCGAAATGTGTTTACAGCATTAAGACAACCAACCTCTAAAAGGAAAAACCAAGTATTAATTTGAGCAAAAACGTTTAAAGAAATCCCATCCCTTGATTTGTACAATGCTTCTATTGGAATGTGGTATCTTGTGCAAAGCATCCGGCCATTATAATGTCGTCTTTCCTCAGTCGCACGGCCAGACGCTGGGAGAGGGGTAGAGAAGAAGGGGAGGGGCGAGGAGCGACCACTCTCAAGATGAACTCTCTCTCAGACGCAGGAGGAAACACTGATGTAGATACAGGACTCCAGGGCTCAGTAGTGATGCGGGACGCTGGATCACTGTCTGAGATCATCTGGGAAGCCTGGAAACAAAACTGTCAGGATAAAGTATAAAGAGGACATGATAGGTTGCTTTGACTATGAACAGAACAAGACATACATTATATTTCTCTTACCAAGATCTTTCGTTTGACACCTCTACCGTGTTTCTATGCCCAACTGTTACATCAATTTAGTGTGGATACAGAAACTCTTAAAAATAAATATAGATTAATAAGCACCAAAAAGAGTATATAATAATAATGTTTCCTTTGGAATTGTTAAACTTTTCTCAAACCTTCATTCGCATTCAGATGTTTGAATCATTAAAAACTAAACTATATTATGTTTTACTGAAATTGTATGTGCATAAAGTGTTTTTCCTACAATGTATAGGTTAATAAGGTGTATAGGACAAGCAGGTAGGTTATGGGACAAGTTAGGCCTACTTGCCACAAAAGCCGTGTTAAAAGCTGTGTTTACACGTACCCAGTAGAGCAGGCAGGTGACAGGACAGGTTACTTGCCTCTGTTGTATTTCAAGTTACCTGAGGCAATAAATCTGCCCGCCAACTGTCCTCGTGTTAATGCGGCTTTAGCGTTATATTCAATATCTGAAGATTAAAAACTAAAACAAAAAATTTTCTAGAAACTAACTTTGTGGGCTTCACTGAACATTGTCCGTATCCGAGCAGCAATCTCTCCTCGAGGACCACCGGGTACAGGAGCTTCCGGTGCAGTGACCAGAGCTGCTAGGAACTGGCGCATCTCACACGTCTGTCCTGCACCGGGACACAGCTTGTGCTCCAGGGACGCCACTTGCGCCACCACACACTCCGCCCACGCCACCTCCTGAGCTAGATCCTGTTAAAACACAAAGGGTAATGCAGTGTTTAAGGAATAAAAGTAATAAAGAAAGTTGTGGCTGTCACTTTATTTTATAAATATTTAACCCGTCTTAAGCTAATACTAAATTAATTATTATAATAGAGAAGTTTAATGATAGTTATTCAAGAATTATTTTCATAATAGTCCATCAAGGTAATTTAATGACAAAATTATAATACAAACTTTAACTATAAACACCCACCTTAGATTAGAGTAGGAAAAAATGTTCACTATTTTGCCATGATCGGGGAAAATGTTATAAGTTTGCCGTGACCATAGAAGATGTACTAGATTTTGTTAAGGCTGCAGAAGATAATATAGAATTCACTATGAACACAGAAGATGTTGACAATTTTACCACAATGTGGGGGAGGATCATGTTGAATGTTATGTATAAGTAGATTTCAGAATTACAAGTAATATTTTTTAATATGCCTACTTTACGAAGCAACCCTATTTTGGCCAGAGACCTGTTGATCTGAACCGACCCAACCCAAAATAAAAAGGCCCATGGACTGCAACATTTGAGTCAATGAGCAAGATGTATCCATCCATGGTACATCCACTAGTGCTGCGTGGTGAGCCAGTGTTTACCAATACCTGATATCTCCTCATATCTGGTGTTCCAGCCCTAGACAGTAGCTCTGCCTTGCTGGCCAAGTGTGATACTGCCACATCTAGTCCTGGCACCTCCACTGGTGCTGCGTGGTGAGCCAGTGTTGCCAACGCTGCATGAGTTAAGGGAGATACCAGCAGGGCTGCCACTTCACGTGGTTGCTTTGCCTCTAGCCAGTGAAGAACCTGTGTATGTAAAAAGATTACAGTGACTGAATTAGCTATATTTGTTACCAAACAAACTTTTTTTGATAAGTTTATAAGAGAGGTGTAAATCATATAGTTAAAATTATTTACAAATTTGTATTTCACATATCTTTCTCCTCTGCATCATAGTACAACACACAATTTCTTTTTAATATAAAATTCCGAACTTAAGATGGCAAAGGATGGTCATAAAGTACCTTTTCAGCTTCTCTTGTGTCATCAAACAGTCTTTTCTGTCTTCGAGCTGGTACAGGTTTAGCAGCCGACCACACCTGGGAAAATAAAAACATCAAAAGGTTGTACAAGGGCATTCCAGAAAGTAACAGACGTTTAATAACGGTGCCGCTAGCAACAATGTTATCACCACCATCTTTTAGCATCAGAGCTATTCTACACCCAGTAGGCCTGTGCATCCAGCATGTGCATCATACCTCTCATACTTTGACTGCAGAAGAATGTTAAAATGAGCTCTGTCAATGCACTGTGCCAATTGTGAGGTGTGGTCTGTGATCAGACTTTATGTTGGCAGGAAAATTACTTTCCAATTGTAATTAACTGTCAGATTTGTGATGATGACAATGAAGTGATGAGATGGCTAAGTGAGACAGTGGTGTACTTATTAATTTTTAAATTGGTTATAAACTTAGTTTCCACTTGTGTTGTAGACTTTCAACAAAGTCAGTGCTACAGAAAGTCATTGGTTTTTTCTCTTTATATCATCCGTTAAGATCTGTGGAACCCGCCAAGCACAAAATTTTGGGTAACCAAGTTTTCTAACACAATTTTACGAACCAATCTCCGTCAACTTTAGGCTCCACAAGTTCCATAATTATATAACGGCGATACTCACAGATTTTGTCTTTGACTTTCCCAAACTGTTTGTCAGTAACTAGACTAGGCCTATCATTGCGGTCCTTATCGTGAACATTGGTTTGTACATTTTTAAAGTTAATTAATGTACTACTGTCTCATGCAGCTCTTTCAATCATCCCTTCTTTGCCGTACACCTCAAAAATCTGTCAATTTTTCCAACAAAAATATGATCACAGAGCCCACCTCACAACTGGCGGGATTTGCAATGATGTAACTTGTTTTAACACTCCACTGCAGAAAAAAGTACAAAAGATATGATGCGCATGTGTTCCTCTTGCTGTATGTGCTCTGTATGGAATATTCTGATGCTTAGATGGCAGCAATGGCACCGTCCCAAGCAGTGTCAATTTAAAATGTCTGTTACTTTCTTGACGACCCTTGTACCTGCAGTTATGTAACTGGATAGCGACATAATTTTTAACTGGGTATTTATATAATTCCATTTGTTTAAGACTGTTAAGTAAATTTGTGACTAAATTCTATGTTGGGTGAGTACAACAGTGAATAGAAAACAGTACATGGGGGCAATATTGTATAAAAAAATGAAAAGTTGATATGTACTCTGTATTGTACGTATTTTGTTTTTTGTTTTTTTTGTTGTTAAAGTACAAACATAATATTATTTTTTTCTGTACGGTATAGTTTTAGTTCATTGCTCTTTTACTTTATGTCCATGGACCTAGCTAGACGATTAAGATGCTTAGATGTTTTTTTATTTCTCTTGTTTTTTTACAATTTTTTTCAACTTACTATTGCACTCAAAAATTAAATCCTGAAATAAAAATACTCTAACCTAAAATTCTAAAATAACATTTGTAGATACAGTAGCCCTAATCATGTAAGATGAAATGCTTAGATAAGAGTTTATATGATAAGTCTAAATAATAAGAACATATTTTTGAGTACATTATGTGATTTATAAAATATTTATTAAATAAAAACTTGGTGACAATTGGTATTTAAAATTCCATAAATTCTTAGCTTTTTCAGGTTGTTCTGGAGTTTCATGTTCAAAGACTACATTTTACTTGTTAGAAGAATATTGATGACAAATGTTCATATTTTTTAAAACCAAAATATACTTGCCTCTATCCACATATTTCCTGGAAGTTTCATTCGAGGACTAAGTTGACCTAGAAAAAAATTAAATAGTGTTACACAATACAAAATTGTTACATAGCCTACTGTTGAAGAACTCAACTACTTATAACTCTATACTAATTCACCACATATTATTAAACCAAAGTAATTTTCTTACTTTGCTGAATATTGCTGTAGGAACCAGCTAGTTTTATTGATCTAGTCTTATTAAGCTATCAAGCAAAACAAAACAAAAAAAATCTAACAGTAGTTTACGCAACAATTGTGTAAAGATAGTGTTAACAATTTGAGTCGAAAATTTAAGGGTACAAGCCTTAAAAGCTTCTACGAGTGTCGTTAACACTATTTACGCGAGTTGCGTACACTACTTTACCTACGACCGGTTTTTAATTACTAATAATCATTACTCAAAACTTCTAAGACAGGTTGTTTTTGTTTATAACCTCTCATTGCCACTGACATTGATGCAACGACTCATTGTATCAATCACTAATTGCACCAATCGTGACAATTAAATTGGTAAACAGATGGTTAGTTAAAGTACGAAGCATTACAATTTTACTTCTTCTCCCTCAATCCTTGAACCTCATTAGTCTGTTAGCCGTGTTGTTAAGTAAAACTACGCTGTTATGTAAGTAAACAATGCTGTTATGTGAAACTTTTCAATGCTAATAACTGAACTGAAACGGCTACGGTACTTTAAAAAACGGCCGTAGGTAAAATTGTTTTACAAATGTATTTACATACGATTGAAGTTTAAGTTTGTTACTTGACTAATGTGGTCAGTCATTTTAAAATAAAAGAAGCTACGGTGCTTCAAAGGCTTTAGACAGAATTAAGAAAAATTTAATAAATTAACCTTTAGGAATTAATCCTTGTACCAGTAAGTTGCCTGTCAGTTAAAATTGTACAATTGTTTGTGATTTACAATAATTATTGTTACAACAAAATAATAATAAACAATGTTCTCAGTTAAAAAATATTATCTCTTCCCCAAATTTGCAGAAAATTGTTTACTAGAAGTAGCTATACCTGTATATACAGGGTGTTTTTTTTTAAACTTGCATCTTTATTTATGTAAAAACCGCAATAGATAGAAATATGCAGTTTGCGGGAATCATCTATTGACGTAGGGGGCCTAATTGTTTTGAATTCAACGTTACATTCACATTCCCCCCCTTTCCCCCCCTGCCCCCAACTTAATTTTTTTAAATAGCAAGGTACCCCTTGTGACATATCAAATGAAAGATCATGAAAAAAGAAAATGTTTAATGAAAAAAAATTGAATATCGGTTCATAAATTTGTGAGATATTCGCCCCCTCCTCCCCCGGAACTTATTTTTTTTTTAATAGCAAGGTACTCTTGTAACATATCAAATGAAAGAGCATGAAAAAAGAAAATTTTTGGTGAAAAAAAATTTAAAATCGGCTCATGAATTTGTGAGATAATCCCCCCCCCCTTTTCCCCTACCCATAACTTGTTTTTTAATAGCAAGGTACCCGCCCTTGTGACATATCAAATGAAAAATAAATTTCACCAAACATCTTCTTTTTTCATGCTCTTTCATTTGATATGTCACAAGGGGTACCTTGCTATTAAAAAAAATTAAGTTCCGGGGAGGGGGAGGGGGAAATATCTCGCAAATTTATGAACCGATTTTCAATTTTTTTTCATCAAACATTTTCTTTTTTCATGCTCTTTCACTTGATATGTCACAAGGGGTACCTTGCTATTTAAAAAAAATAAGTTGGGGGCAGGGGGGGAAAGGTGGGGAATGTGAATGTAACGTAGAATTCAAAACAATTAGGCCCCCTACGTCAATAGATGATTCCCGCAAACTGCATATTTCTATCTATTGCGGTTTTTACATAAATAAAGATGCAAGTTTTTAAAAAAACACCCTTATAATCATGGGGCAGTGGTGAAGTGAATGGGCTTATTTTATACAGCACCAATTTATTCATGAGTACCTACCTTTTTTCTGTCCGAAATCGTCAAGGCCATCCTCTTCTATCCAGTCTCTTGGGGAGTACCATCGGATGAAATCCTCCAACTCTGCTCCAGGATTGGCTGCCTGAAAGTCACACGTCCATTTGATATTCTCATTGGTTACTTACTTCACAATCACTACACCTACCTGGGTATTTTGATGATGCATAACACTTTAGTGAAGATTCTATCACTGGCCAAAGGGATTATGCTTGTAACCTGATAATCAGCTGATGTGCAGAAGTATTGTCTATATACAATCAACCATACATTCAACTAATGTAGCAGTGTAGTGTGGAGCTCAGCCTCTACAACCTGATGTAGCCAACTCAAATGTCCCGCCAAGAAGACACTCTTCAACTCACGGCATACGTGGCGAGCATGTGAGGTGAGTTGAGTGAAACAGGTCTCGGTCTTGGTGTTTTTGTCGAAGAAATGCTAGAAGTTGGAGTATATGGGATAAGACCCCATGAGAGGTACCGTGTTAGATATGTCGTTACTCTAAATTTCTCTAAATTTCCATAATTGTTCTTTTCAGATTCTGTAGTCAAAAATGTTTATATTATTTCCAGCGTCCCCTTTCAATTTCAATATTTATTCAAATGTTAGTTCAGGTTGTGTCCAGTTGTCTCATTAATAATTATTGTAATATTCAAAGACCATGGTATTTATGTAGTTAAAATGGTTCAATTAGTATCAATAATCATCAAAGCCGGCTCTTTGGGCCTGTGATTAGCAGTAATTTGTCTCCTCTGGTTAAATAAAAGGTTCCAGTTGTCGTTTCCTACCTGAATGGTTTGGTCGTAACAGTCAATCAATGGACCATAACCGCCAATAATGTAGCTTAAACGCCACAATTAGCATCACTGAAATATTAAGCACTAACCCCATCCAATCCAACTGAAACACTGAACACGTTCCTGGCTTTACCTTGAAGGACTCCATATCGGACAGCAGGGAGGCACTCATCATCCTAGTCCTCAGTTCCATTCCCTGAGCGTCTGCACCCAGCTGCAGCATCACTCTCTCATCTTCCTCCAACTGATCTTCTGTCTTGGGAACTGGGTCCTGCAACAGACAATCAAATGTCTTCATGATGACAGACAAGTACATCTACGGTATCTACGTTAAAACTAAGCCATTGTTACTTTCTTGTTATCAATCCATAGTGAATTGATTATGAAGCTTATGATACCCATGGGTGTTTGCAGCGGGGCATAATCATCAGGAATGAAACTATAATTGTGATTGAAGATCGTAACCTAATATATAAACAAGAGAAAAAAGAGTTAAAGTAACTAAATAGGAACTTTAATAAATATTAAATGCTTTGAGAATCATTATACCCTGCTGAAAGACGAAAGCTATCAAACAATCGCCTTGGTATCCTGTGCGTATTATCAATGATCGAAAAACTGTCAAACAATAAAACCAAGAAATTGGAAGTAGAGCAAGAAAATAAATATATTCATTTGGAATACAGAAGTGACAAAAAATGTATTACTTTTACACTAGTAGCCTATCACTTTTGTATGTTCTTTTGAAAAGTTCAAAATCTTTGTAAAGATTCATGAAGATCCCAACCTTATTAATTGATTTTTTTGTTTTTAACACAACTGTATTTCCAAACAGAATATTTGACCAAATCACCTGAGTGATGGGGATGTATAGTGGTTCCCCCGTCTGCAGCAGTCGCAGGTTGTCACAACGCTTCAGTCGCCCGACAGGTTTGTTCCACAGCGAGTGTTTAGGCTTGCGGCGAGGTTGCGACACAACATCGCCTGCGACTGTGAACTCCTCGGTTTCAGCGTCACAGTCAAAAAACTCTTCCTCTTCATCCTCTGACTCATCTGGATAAGAGAAAAGAGTTATGATCTAATTACAGGAGAATATGGAGTTTCTTCGGTTTCTCACGGAGGTTCTCTTTCACAATTTCAAAGTATTAAATCATGACTTTTGGATACTGTTTAATAAATAGTCAATGGTTAAATATATCCATCCATAAATATAAATAATCATAATTCAATGGTAATACAAAGAGCAAGCACAACATCAGCGTCTGTTCATTATCATAGGTGTGAATCCCACGTTTGTAAAATTGTTTGGATTTCTAAAAATAATAGACTAGGTAACAATATAACTTATGATGCTCAAATGTTTTTTATCTGATTTCTATAATTCGAAGATTTGCTTGTGAGTATAGAGTTGTTTGTAACATTTTTTTACAAAACAAGTTGTTTCTGCAAATTATAATGATGTTGTTGTTGGGAAAGGTGCTCTTTCCCAAACACAGACATTTGTAGTTCATTCAAGAAGTAGTTAGGTCTAATCCTTAATTTATTTGTACTTATTTCCTTGAAAAATTTGATCCTTATTGAGTTTATTTGAATTAAAATGTTGTAGGTAAACTAAAATAAAGTTTCCTATTTATCTATTTACCTATATTTAATCAATTGATAAGATGTAATTTTCTCCTCTTAATATGTATAAAAAATTGTAGTGTGTCTCTTAACTTCTCAAGAGCATTTGTGCTAAAACAAAGAAGATCAACAACAACACAAGAACAAAGAAGACATGGTCAATCCACTGCTAACAATTTTGAGAGTGGGTACCGAGTTTCAGTAGGTTTTAACCATTGTCAAAGTTCAAAGTTGATCAACTATTTTCAGTTGAAATAACATACAATTTAATTAATGACACAATCAAAGTTTAGTCAATACCCTACTTGGAACATCTTACCTGTGGCGTCGTCATCGTTGGAGGCAAGAGCTGAGTTTTCCCTCTTGGTTTTGGTCTCGACACAACAATTAAGCATCTGCGGGACATGTGAGTTGGTGTTATATAAACAGGGAAAATTTTTCAATTTTATACAAATATGTAACATATTTTCTGACTCCTCTTTACCTAGCTCAACTAAAACTGTTATTGTAGCCTATTTTTTTGTGCTCAATACAATGCCTCAGTTAACAAAAAATATTTTTTTTTACAGACAGTTTATTTTAAGACACTGTGACACAGTTATTTAGTCATACTCTTTCATAAAAATAGGCAAAAGAGTTCAAGAAGAATGATGTTATAGAGTTTTTGAAGTGGTTGTTGATAAATAAATAACTAGAGATTAAGTGCAGTTCTTAATTTTACAACACTTTAATCATTCAGAGAATAAAACAGAGAGTAATGGCATTAACACATTTTTTATTCCAATGCAATAATCAAATCTATTAATCAAATAATGCATAGCAATATTTTTATAGAAAAAATAACACACGTTAACACAAGACATATGTATTATCCTTAGTTTTCAATTTTAAGGGAATATAAGCTTGATAAGAGTTATCTATTTCTATATGAGTACTGTTTTACAGCATAAAAATTCATGGAATGCCGACAGTGCCGGATTGAAAGGTTTTGAGGTCCCTAGGCCAATCTACCCTGAGTGAGCCTCGCCTTAGACGTGTGGAACACCCTCGCAATTGAGGCGAAATTGTAAACAATTTCTGTCATCATCACGATCACAGGAACATCATCATTGTTAGCGTCATCTCTGATTTCGTCGAAACAGTGTACAGATCCCGCGATCACGGGCGCATCATCATTGCCAATTGCCACCCGTGCTCGCGGCGAAATAGTGAACGCTCCCATAGCAAATCACAAACATTCAATAAAAAAATTGTTTTGTACTAAACGCTTCGGACCGCTTTTTCTAATGGTAACCCCGACACTAGAAGCTTTCCTCAGCATACACAGTAGCCTAAAACCTCTTTGAATTCCAGTGTTTCGTTTTTCCAAATAATATTTTATTTGGCTAAATTACAGCTCATTGTCTCCGTCACCATAATCTCCTTTCTCACATTTAAGGTTAGTGATTATAACTTAGTCTTGTAATGAGTTTCGTTATACTTGTTGTTAAAAGCATATTCACCCATGTTCTGCAAAAGTAGAGCTGTATGTCCATTCTAATACAGTGTCTGGAACAGGGGTGTTCACAAACCATTGCGTTTGAGCCATTTGCTGTAAAGTAAAATGTTCAATATGTTGACAATTTAAGTTAAACGGCGTCCAAACCTTCATTACCGACATTCTAGCTCCATTGTTGTCCGCTAGAGTGAAACACACGACTTAGGAGGAACTGCCGTTTCCTTTCTAGTTCATTCAATGTCCATCAGAGTGCATCAGAGTGATATGATATATAAATGTTTTTCCATTCCCATGTTAATGTTGTCACCAGTTTTTTAATAAAATTCGTCGTAGTTGATGTGAGCCACCGACAGATTGCGCAGATCTGAATTACTAATTTCTGTCGAATACACAATTGTTTTTCCAAGTAAAACTGATGAAGCGACTTATTATATGTTCTACAGCAATTGTTATGACCCATAAATGTCCGTAACAAAAAATAAGGTAGAAAACTGAAGTTTAGACACTAGCACATTCTGTGACTGCCTCACACAACTACACTCTTTTGTTAATAAAAAAATGGATACAGCTGGTCCATATAGATTGAAGATGGGTTGTCTACTTCAGAATCCAATAGTCAATGGTTTCAGATTGTTAAGCATACTCGTTATGATTTACAACTTCCAAGTGGAAAAATATAAATTTAAAAACATAATTTGGAGGGTGACTAAGGAGGTGATACGTGCACTCTATCATTTGTCGAGTATTGTGGTTGTGAAATCTCCTCTGGCCTTTATAGGTATCCAAAGTTCCACTTAACATGTAAAAAAGGAAGAAAGTATATACTGTCCGTAACTATATATATGTTCACTTCAGCCTTCTATAGATTGGTCTGCAATGTTCCGAAGGAACGCTAGATGTTATAACTCTCAAGGCAGATTTGTGCAGCCTAAGTATTTCATCACGCTCTGAAGAGTGGCCCCTGAGTTCTCGTTGGCTAGGCGACTATGGAACAATCCGTGATGGATGGTTGTTAGAAAAGCTTTACTTATGTTACTCACCAACTGAGCAGCGGAAAAAACTACTCCGGATAGCTTTTTTACAGGCATTATATATTTGAGGATTACAATTTATTTTGATGTCTAGGTTGAAGCCCAAAAGTTTGATTATTCTTGGGCTTAGTGGAGTTGTGAATTGTGATGCGGCCAAATCTCGAATTCAAATGCAAATAGTTTGTTGTGTTATATTGGCACTAACTGGAAACGTATTGTTTCAAAACGATGTTTCCGCCAAGGAAGGTCAATACCGACCACCTAATTCGAGTTTAGGCTTAACACGATCACGTCACCATTCCCTAGATAGCTGAGCTTCATTATAGAATAAAATTCTTAATTTTATATCAAATTTTATTCAACGCATAATTTGAATTGCGAGGTATAATGAGGAAAATGATAAGAAAACTAATTGACTAAATACAATAATTACATATTATGAACTTTACATATAACACATTATGTCCAACTTCTTCAGGCCATTTTTATTCGTTCAAATTAATCACAAAAACAAGTTTTATAAAACAGTGTCATAACTCATAATACAGTACCTATATAATCTACATATAAAAATCATAGGCCATGCACTAATGGATATTTTTTGTCATTGACTATGGTCAGCTGTATCGTGACTGTGAGCAACGAGTGTAAACAGATTCGATAATTATCGATCGTTAGTTGTGGCTGAAAGCGTCACAATATCCCAATATGTTTGTGTGCTGTACCGTGGTGTTGCTATATGTACACTATAAACTATGCAGTATCCACGTCTAACTGGTAATCACATCTTTAAATGACTGCGAGGTAGAAGGAGCCCTCTTAGCTTAAATTATAGTCCAACTGTCTAATAACATACTGGGTGAATACACTGACATTTAAAACAAACAGGGTAATCATCCAAAGTGCACATACAATGTTTACTAACAGTGGTAGATGGTAATTAAATGTGTTTAGTTTAAAGTTTCTACTTTGTATAGGACCATTGATAACTTACCTGCAGCTTCTGATTCAGCAGACAAGTTTTGGCGTCCGGAAACACTCGTACAACACTAAAACAAATTTTTAAAGTGAGTGCTAATATTTTTACATGTATAAGTGATAAAAATAAACTAGACTATGCTTGGATTGCTTAAGATTAAAGACTGTTTTCGCAACTTCGTTTTAAATTACCGTCACGAGCAAACAACTTACTTATTTATCACCTGTTGCTCAACAGTTCTTTCTAGGTGAATTTCAGAGCTAATCACACCAAAAAAAGTTTCACTATGTGAGACGCACGACTACAAAAATCAATATAGGCATAATAGTGCCAAACATCATAGATAATAATCAACATAGACCAAAACGAGTGAATACGCACATTATAGCTAAATTCTGACGAGAAACCACAGTTTACTCATAACACAGTAGGTGACAATCAATATGCGGTGCAAAAACAGGACTGCTAAACACTTCAAAATAAACCACGGACGAATACAACAACAAATATTCTATCGAGCTTCCATGATAAACACAATTCAAAGGGTAGATTTCATACTCCTTTGTGTTCATGCCCAGAGCGCTAGAACCCCGGTGTGTATTCCCCACAACGTTTGCTTAGGGGTTAACGCCTCTTATCGTTAAGATAGGATACGTTGCGAGGAAATCTTAAGCATTCTGTACTATCTTCATTAGCTAACGCTGTATAGTTTTTGATTTGAAAATTCACAGCCCACAATTTCAATTAGGTCCAATAGATTCCCATCAACTAATACAGTTCCTCCGCGTCTGCCTCAGCTCTATACTCCGTTCAAACAGCCGTGGCACCTGAGGGATTAGGAGGACCCAAGGGTTTCCATGGGGTCTCCTAATCCGTCAGGTGCCACGGCTGTTTGAACGGAGTATAAACACAAATTTTAGATTTTGTAACCTGCAATAAAGCTCAGAGACCCCAAAAGAGCCATTAGGGCCGCCAGTTGCCCACCAACTTATACAGTTTCTCCAGTAGCCGGGTGGTTGGGTGCGTATACGGGGCGACTGACGCACTTTCTTCACACAGCCGCCACTTTCCATCTTGAGCCCACAATTATTGGAAATACTTGCGCTTTTCCTCCCAGTTACAACGGAGTTAACGAGATAAGTGTTTATGCGATTGTTCAACTGTTGCAAATCCGCTTTCGCCGGTCCGCGGTCCGCCCTTCCAGTGTTCCGGGGATTGTAGGAAGTTTGTGCTTAACGGGGAACGGTAGATGAAGTTTAACTGTCCATAAAGTAAAGATTTGTCAATTAACTAAGCTAGACATTGCGAGGGCAAACATCTGTTCATAGATCGTAAAGTTAGTTTCAAGTAAAACCGAAAATATCGGGAACTTTTACTTGCAATTTATTATTTATTACTGAACATGGGTTACAGATATAAAAACATTGTATTAGCATTTCCAAGGAAATCATCCTCGCCAAATTGAGCCAGGTGAAGGAGGGAGGTCGCAAAGTTTAATTTAGCTATGTATTCAATGTTTATTATATTTGTTTGTTACACGTGAAATTGATAATGAGTTTTGTTAAACAATGCCACCAAAATCGTGTATATGCAATTTGTATTGCATTTAATAGGACATCTTAAGTTGACTCCTATTGGCCATAAAACTATCTAACATCCAGCATCCGAGTGAATACCGCATGTTATATTAATGATTGTTAAAGTAATAAGTTATCGCATAAGAAGTGATCATGTACAAGTTTATTCTACAAAGATGATTGTTACAGATAAATTGGTGGACTTTTTAAAATTCTTCTCTCTTTTTAGGGTACATCCAGCTTTTAAAACATCAAGGACATACAAATAATATAGCAAACCCGTGACCGTTATCCTCAAAATGTTGATGTTCTCTGGGAGAATTAAGTAACAATAGCACGAGATGTAGTAGTGGTAATTACTGAAGTGGATCACACCACAGACCGGTTCGTGGGCAAGGTTACTTCGAGGGTCTATAAACTGAGAACTGGTTCTCTACAGAAGTGAACCAATTTGATGTTTAGCCTCACGTTGAACACATTTTATTCCATGTCAACCGACTTCCACTCTCACAGTAAGGATGTTCTTCTGTTGACCGCGATGTGACATTCTTCGCTCACAGAGAAAAGGTTCTTTAGTGTGTTGAAGAAATCATAATGGAAACACAGTGTTAACACAGTTTCTAACGGCAAACTTTGGGTAATCGACTGAAAGGACGGATCAAATACGTCACACAATTTGATACGTAAAATAAAAGTGGTCAGACAGTTAGTTATATAAAGATCTGGAGAGGATCCGTGAAGTGACCGAAAAATGTCCCTCCATCAAAATCCATTTGAATAACCCCAACCCTACGCTGTAGGCTTCCTAGGTCCCTTTAACGTGAAGAGTCTCCGTATACTACAATATAGTTATATCGACGTCAAGTTATCTTTTCTACATGAAGTGTCGGAAGACTTCACATCGGATTTTTTTCATATCACATATTGCTAGATTTAAATTTACTTATGCAATTCATTCAATAACTGATTTCTTTAATGTATAATTAAAATAAGATGCAACTTTTTACTTTACAGCCAGCAAGCTGCAAGATTTCCAGTCCTCAATTTCCAAAACACTGCTCCAAGTTCATGAACATTTACTCATTTTTTGCAAGATCAAGTACAACAAAACGGCTCTTGAAATTATAAACGTCAGTAGGTACATCCTACGTGGTCAACCTAAAACGCATAAGTTTATGAAGGCTCGGAATCAAAATACAGGTTAGCAATTGCATAAAAAATATATCAAAAGATCAACACAGTACTTTACGACACAACGAGATAAACCGAGACCATAGCCTAAATGTGGAAATCTTTTTTCTTGACTGGTCATAAACTTCGTCTAGGCCTACATCCAATTTCAATTCTAATTCGAATATAGGATCTCGAATCACGATATGACATTGTTACTGTTTAGGAACAGTAATAATGACATTACAGGGAGGATCTCTTTCATTGTTTTTTTTCCTCAAGGGTCAAGTCCAATATGAAGATAGTTTAATTCATGCACCAGGTTTAGAGCTATATTTTGAGACCTTTCTTTCTCGAATCCCATAAACTTCGCAAATGTCAAATTTCATTGTAACGATTCCGATTGTACCGTAGACGTCCAAAATCACTATCAGTAATCTCAAGGAAGTAAACTTCAGTTACTTTTTCTCAAGGAGAAGGGCGTTACACCCAAATGTTGGAACTGAATTTGTTTAAGGCACGAAGAACTTTCTTCCAATCCCAACGGTAGGACCACGATACGCCAAAACAATGCCAGCACTACAAGGTCACAAGGAGTAAGCATAAGGAGGTCCACTTGGAGCACATGAGAACTACTATGTTCTCTCAGGGGCCCAAGAAAATACGCCAAAATTCTCGTTGGCACCCAATTCCAAAATCATTGATCAGGATGATTCTCCCAAGGTCCTCAGGAGCTTCTTCCCTCGGAATGTCCCTGAGTGGTAGAGGTGGCCCGATTACCGGCTACAGGTGGGGGCATTGACCCTGCACTCGGACTCGCCACTTGGCCGCGTCAGTTCCTCGTGGAGTGTCGTGCCGTCAGGTCGTGTGTTGGAGTACCACTTACCGCCACCGCCACCGTCACCGTGCAGAACATCTCAAGATTCGCCGCGTGAGTATTTAAATCTAGCGAAAACTTGGTGTCTGAAGTGTTGTCAAATATTCTACTAAAATATGTAGGCCTAAATATCGTATTTATAATATTAATATTGGTGTTCCCCAAGGTGTTTATTTTTGGGAAAGCTAAATCTGATTTAAAATTATCTTTTTCTGATTTGTCTAAATTTGGTGATGTTAAATTATTTTAAGGATTTTCATTCCGTTAGGAACCTTAAATGCACCAGATTAATATTATTATATATTCTTACGGTTGATTTCGTTAAATTATGGTTGGGTGAAAGAAATATAATTAGTGTAGTTAAATGATACATTGACGTTTGTCAAGGTTCGACTTTTCAATTATTGAAATTTGAATTAATATATCAGCTCATTAGATCTTTTTGAAGGAATAAATTTATATCCTGTATTGCATTTATTACAGGAGCTTTGTATCGGTAATTTAAATCTATGTTTTCATATTTGCGGTTGATTTGTTAGTAAATTGTGGTTGGTTAAAAATAATTAGTAAAGATGAAGCTGACCAACATTGGTGTTCGATTTTGGGACTGCTGAAATATGAATTAAAATACTAGATTAATAGATCTTTAAGTAAATATTTCTTGTTATTATGATATTTAATTAGTCGTCGGATCAATAATCGGTTTCCTCATTTTTGACCATCAAAACGCAAAATTTTCCCATTTCTCTCTCTAGAACATTTTAAAGAGCTAGAATATTAATACAAATAATTTAGGATATTGAAGTGTTTTTTTCGGTTATTGGTTACGGAGAAAATCCACAAAAATTGTAAATTTAAAATTCTCACGTTATTCTTATGGGAAATATTGTATAATGCTGTAGTTTGCTTGTTTATGTTTTTTGGTTGTTGTTTGTTGGTGTCGGTTTGATCAAACTTGGCAAATTTATTTATTTTATACTAAGCTATTAATATTTTACTAAAAAAACACAATTTATTAGCCTCCCAGTAGCAGGAAACCTAGGTACTTGTTTGATATAATGTCATTTAAATAGATTTAATTGTATATCAATTCAGGCAAATGGAAAATCGCTTAGTCTGCAGGTTTGCTGCGGCGGGGGTATTTTTTTTTAGTAATTAATTTTTTTTTGTAAATTATTATTGGGAAACAATTCAAGCCATAATCGTGTTTTCAGAATCAAGATACACCGGGTGAAATTAAAATGATTTGTTTTTAAATCTTGTAACAATAGGCCTAATAATAAATAGCATATTAGTTTTTGTATGAAAATTGTGTTATTGGGTTTTTAATGAAAGCATGACTTTTCGTCCCACAACACATATAACTATTTGCTGAATTTATCATGATAATTTATGGTGTTACTTGATGGTATTTGGTCAATTTCCTTACCGGTGTTTGTAAAATAAAGAGGAATCTGACACGGTTTATTTACAAGTTTTTCGTGGAAGCTAACACGAGTATTATATAGGGATCAAATTAAATTAATTTTGGTACAATTATAAAATTAATAAAATGTATTAGTATTTTTGTTCAAAAATAATTAATCCGTAAAACTCCTATGGAACACTTATAATATTTACACTAAGTCGACGTCACTATGGACCCCACGACACCAAATTCTCCAAGCTAATGTGTTAAAATACCGTTATGGAAACTTTATGTTTTGAAAACAACTTTTTAACGCCATCGGACATTACTTAATTAAAAATAAGTACATGGGAATTTTAAAAAATAGATTTTTGATTAACAAAAAACATGGCTCAGCGGCTTGATTTTCAAAACAAAACAAATGTATTGAAACCTTTGATTTGGATGTCAAAAACTAATTTCTCTGGACTGATTGAGTGAAGGCGGCAGATTTTGGTCAGAGAAGCGGAAACGGAATGGGTGTCCACTGACCGGAAGCAGTGTGGAATAAACCGCAAGTAAGTGGATGTTTTGCCGCTTTCACGCCGACGCTGACATATGCGACTTGGGACTGGGAGGGTGTTTATGTGGATTATATCCATGTTGCGCAACTCTTGACGACTATGATTTTGTCCCCCTTGTAAAATTATGAACATTGTAACAAAGAAATCTTCGGGCTATACAACTATGTATACGTTTTATTCAGCATCCAGCATTCCAGTTACACACTTAAAATTTTGATCGAAACTTTTGTGTCTAAGTATCCTATAGGCTTGCGGAACTGGATACTACAGGTGGTAGGTAAATCCTTGTGTTAAAGTGTGTAGTTTCAAAGGATTTTGCGATTTTCAATAACTACTGTTTCAATGAGGAAATATGTCTACAAGGTACTTCAAGTTGACTTACAATATGTTGTAGATTATTATATATTGTGTTAAAGTGTGTAGTTTCAAAGGATTTTGCGATTTTCAATAACTACTGTTTCAATAAGGAAGTATGTCTTCAAGGTACTTCAAGTTGACTTACAATATGTTGTAGATTATTATATTATGAGTCGCCTCACAGATTCCAAAGATCAATGCATAATGAAATGAACATTCGATCTTCGATAAATATCTCTAAATCGTAAACCACGTAATTGGATTCGTAGTAATTCATAAAAGATGTGTACTCTTTTTACTGTCAAATGAAAACCAGAGTAATGTATTTATTTCACAAAGATTAATAAGCACCAAACTAGTCGTTATAATGAGTAAACAATCAAAATCAATCACCGCATAAAATAATGTTAAAAACTTCACACATTCTCAGACGTGTACAGTAACATTTCTGCAAAGTTTCTCACACTGGCGTTGATATGTGATGACGATGACAATACAATACTGTAGTAGTTACAATGAGAGGGACACGACATCACAAATCGGCATATCCGATATAGATGAGTTAACGGTGTCAAGCGGCTATTGTGATATCAGTAGCTACATAATGGGCGGCAAAATGTAGGACATCGACACACACCATAGCACACCAGGTCGGAAAAAAATGCTTTAAACTTTTATAAAATCCATGTTATAATGTTCGGTGGGTTTCACTTCAGTAGATTCATAAAAAAGGTAAGGTAATTTTGAAGCTACTGGAATCGTGACGGATTAATTTAGTAAGTAAACGTAAACTAAAATGTAATGTTTTGTATTTAGTCTTAACAATTTTAACCGATAAAAACTGTCTCTAAGGGAAATATACTTCACATTATTATAAATTTGTATACACTTTATTTAATTTTCCACAAAAATTTAAGCTATAAAACATTACATTGGGTAAGGAGCAAAACATTATTAGACAAGTCACCTATTTTTTTTTACTGCAGGGAGACTTATTGTCTAATTGTAATTATTATTCACGCTCGTCTACGTTTGAAATCAATAACGTTGTTATCATAATCAAGGCAAATTTAAATTGTGTATTTAATTGTTTCGTTATACATAACACGAAACATTTGTTTATGAATACTGTATATAGTTTTAATCGCTAAAATAGTTTTGTGGTTGGTGAAACAATAAGAAAACTTAACACTACCAAACTAATTAATTGTCTTCATCAGATCCTATTGGGTATGCTTACTCTGTGGTTGAGTTTTAAATTATTTACAAAAAAAGTAAGCATTTTCTACCGGAACACTAAAATGTAAAGGAACCCGTCTTATTTCTTAAACATACTATACAAAATGTGTAAACAAATTTATGAAACAAATTAAAACCAGAATTGTGTAGGCTATATAATAAATGTAGCTCAATAATTTGCAAAATTACTATGATCATTGACACTAAAACACACTTTCAAATAAATATCAACAATTAACTTCTTGTAAAAACAAAAGACACAAAACAGCGATCCCACAAAAACAAAGTTCTCGCAACGACACCATTGTCATTGTACTACTTGGACAATGACTATTCCCAGAGTTACCAGTGGTGATGATATCCATAAGATGTCCAATTGTAGGATAAGAGTTGTGTCCTTGGGTACGCAACTCAAAACAATAGGAGTGGGTACAACACGGGAAACAGCAATCGGTTATCTCCAAACATAGACACACAGTCTGGACCAACCTAGGCTTGGGCAATGGTAACTGATGCATCTAGTGCAATAGTGCAATGACGCAAGACAGAATATCCTGTGTACTTATAGATGTAAAAGGAATAAAATGGCAAACAACATAATGCATCTCAACTGCTTGATATCAGGACTTTTGCAACTGAGCAAGGACTCAACTTTACAGTCAGATATAAAATTTACTCCAAGATAATGATAGGTAATGATTGCACTATGTATGCAGGAGATCCTGGGAGATCGAGTAGATTCTAAATATAGTATGTCGATTTGGATTTCGTTATGAAGATTTATTTGTAAAGCCCCAAGTTTTCAGCAATATTTGGCAACTGTTAATATTTTACTGGTGGACACGAAAACATGTTTGTTTCTAGAAATCAGAGGCTGAGCCTTCCTAGCTGGTGGGGGTCATTTAGGCCCTAAAATATATATTTCTTAAACATTACTATGGCAAAAACAAATAGGAATAAGTACTTTACGTTTTCCATTTATATCTTTGATCTTTCATTCCACTTTTACGGTCAAAAGTCAAAACATTCAGCTTACCATTAATACAGAAAATCTCTGTAGTTTGGAAATATTTGTGACAAAAGAAGAGCCATATATTATTTAGAACAAAGATTGCAATGTTACGTTTTTTCTTTAGAAACAAAATAAAAACATCTCCTTTAGACTCGTGTTCTTCACAAACTAGAGTGAAAATGAATTTAAGTATCATAAGGTGGCATATCTTCAACTATTTCACTAACTGAATGTGCACTTGCTTAAAACCTTGACTCTGAAAAAGTGAATGATTCAAAAGAAGCATAGAGCATTTGAGCGGTTGCACTCATTGAATTGGTGATGAGACGTTTGGACAGTGCCGGAAATGTCAGGAAGGCTCTACACAGAGAAAGTGTCGTCTATTGGGACTGGCGGTGTTTATCTATCATAAAAACACCACAATCTTCGATTCAATCTACTCCAGCCACGTATTGTTCCTTGGTTTCTTCAGCTC